CTGTCAGATTTTAGTGATGGGACTTCATTTCTAACGAACTCTTATATTAAAGTAAATTTAAAAAGATCCAAACGTGTAATTAAGTGACGTTTTAAATAAATAAAATGGATAAGGGTAAATAAATTCAACCAGTTCTTTAAGCATTTTGGTAAAGAGTCATGCTTTTTAAAATTCTGTCATCTGGTTCAACACATAACGTCACATTTCCAAGTAACTATTCATTTAACACAGACTTAAAAGTACAACTGGAAATTTATATGAAAAATTATTAAGAACAAAATGTCTCACTTTTAATTCTATTTTGGATTAATTTGTTTTGTGCTTGGTTAGATTTTGAACATTTCCACTGTGGTGCATTATTGTAATTACTTTTATTTATGTTACCGTATTTTCCGTTGTATAAGTCGCATCGGTCAAAAAAAGCAGCATGAAGAGGAAAAAAACATATAAGTTGCTTCAACGTATAAGTTGCTTCAACGTATAAGTTGCTTCAACGTATAAGTTGCTTCAACGTATAAGTTGCTTCAACGTATAAGTTGCATTTGTTATGCATCACCGCTGACCCGTCACGTTCATTATGTGTTTATTTAATGGTAAAAATAGCTTAATTTTGTCTGAGTGGCACCATCCATCCATCCATCCATCCATCCATCCATCCATCCATCCATCCATCTCAACTATAGCTCTCCAGCGTTCCTCCACCTGCACCAGCTGAGTGGAGCGAGCGCGCATGGGAGGGCTCTCTGTTGCAGTTCTTCAAAAATTAAAGCGTCAGTCAAAAACTGCGTTATGAATATGGAAAACAGAAAACGTAAACAAGTCACTTCAACGTTTAAGTCACAGGACTGGCAGATCTATGCAAAAAAACTGTGACTTCTACATCGTAAAATACGGTAAATTAGAAATTCCACATTAAAACAAGTTCAGCAGAACAAACTGAACTGATTCCTCACCACTTCTACCTTACTTCTCAGTATTACCATCTTTCAGCTGTTTTTGACCAGCTTATTGATTATATATATATATATATGTATATATATATGTGTATGTATGTATAAGAAAAAGTGTCAGGATGGGCAGTGGGTAGTTGAAATGCAGAGCAGCAGCAGGCACAATGCACAGAGCCATCCTGCACCCGCCTCCACCCAGAATACGCCTTGTGGGCAGAGCAGAAGGCCTCGGGCACTTATTCTGTGGCCAGCCAGATTAAAGCTTTTATTACAGCACTGACAGGGGCCCGTCTGGTTTCCCTCGCCCAAGAAGTCCCACAGACCGTGCTCTCTATCTTTGTGCCATGTCTCTCTCTTGCTCTGTGACTCGTGGCTTCATGGCTTGTCTCATGACTTCTCAAGTCGTGTGCGGCTGAACAAGCATCTGATTCTGAACTTTAAAGACTAAAGAGTGCACAGGAAAGAGTTCAGATTATTGTGGGCAGCAGTCCTCCACTACAGTTCAGAGCGCACTGCTGTAATTTTACTGGTTGCATAAATATTCATGAATTATCATGGGGGGGGGGGGGGGGGGGGGACTGATAGCTCACAAGCTATTGTTGTTAAGAAGGATGAAATTAAAATATATCTAACACCGAAGTTCATGTTCATTAATCCAGGTATAAATCCAACAACGTTCAGTCAGGTCATCTGGATGGTTTCTTTTTTAGATGAAACGTTTCATCCTTCATCCAAAGGACTTCTTCAGTCACCTTCAATCAGTTGATTGAAGAAGTCCTTTGGATGAAAGAAATGTCTTAGCAATAAAAGAAACTCTCAGATGACCTGACTGAACAGTGATGGATTTATACCTGGATTATTGAACATGAACTTTGGTGTTTTGAACCACTTTGACATTGTTGCCTTAGAGGAGTTGACGGGGGAGAGGCCGGGCCCCAGAAACCATCTTATTACCAGCAAACTGTTTTTTTTTTCTACTCTGGGAGTGAGCTGTTTGTGGGATTCACTTTGGTTCTGTGGGCTCCTCAGACTGAAGAAGTCCTTCGGATGAAGCCGTCCAGATGACCTGACTGAACATTGTTGAAAGTATCTTTAACTTTCTTTACGGCCTTGTTTTATTTTTATGTTGTCCTTGGTTAAATACTTGTTGTTTCAAATATTCTTTCAGCACTTAGTAGCAGTACTTTCATTGTGTTTCACTCCTGTGAACTGTGCATTGTAAATATCGTTTTTATATCAGCCATATTGTAACGGCTTCACTTTTCTTGCAGCCTCTCTGCCTCGTTCTGTGGCAGAATATCTACCTTCCCCAGATACTGCATGTCCTTTTGCTACTCCTCTGTGTCAGAGTGATCTGTAAAAATTTAATGACACTATAAAATAATAAAACTGCCATTAATTTATCACAGCACTTGATGCGTGGGCCGTAAAGAAGCATTAGTTCACTGAATATTTTCCAGCCCTAAAACAAAACCCTGGCGATGTGCTGATAACTTATGGCCCTAATTCCAACTATATTTCTGACTCACAGATATAAATTACCAAACTTATAACCAATAAGTATATTAAGCTCAGTATATAAAATTTTATGAAAATTTGTGGCATCATATTGGATAAATAGTCTCATATTAATTTGCATTATGAGCAATACTTTTGGTGATTCGGTTGTTTTAAAGTGCTAGAAAAAACTCAAGATATTCTTATTTGCAACTCTTCTGAACTTCAATCTTCATTCTTCCATCTTTGCATCAAGATTATCTGCTAAAACTTGAGCTTTTTTGTTATTTTGCAAATGCGTCACACTTCAAATATCTTTCAGTACCTCAGCTTATTTCGCTCCACCCGTTCAGCTGCATGGCTGCAGGTTTATTACTGGATTCCAACTTTGTTAAATTCTATGTTTATTATTTACATTGCTTTTTTACAAAGAAATGCATTTTTCCTAGTTAGTTCTTTTTTGTATTTTACTTGAATTTTTATTTGATTTATAAAAGAGATAACATAAAGGAACTTCTATAGGAAGCCTTGAACAAGAGTTTCATTCAGTTTTGTTCCAAGTTGTCTAATTTGCTGATTTCCACTGATCATATGACTTAGTGCAGTGGAGGAAGAAGTTCAGCACTGCCGTAGTTATTAATGAAAACCATTGATGGATGGCCCCAGTTCTCTCTTTTCCCCAGCCCAACATGATGCTTAATGATCATGAGTTTATAAAAGGACTTGATTGATCAAGAGGGGCCAACGAAGCACAGAAGAGCGATGAGACGACTACTTTATTACAGACACACGGCACCAACGAGCACTGTGTCTTCCTACTGGACTGTCTGAGAATCATCCGGAGCAGCACCATCCAGCTAATCGCACTTCAGTCACTTTGTCATCAGGCTGCTGGCTTTTTTCATTAAGAGCAATAATGTGGATGGCTGATGGATATAGCTCTGCATACGCGAGCGTGCATGTGTTGCTTTACACAGAACGTGACACCGTGAAAGGCTCCATACTCCATCTTCTCTTTACAAAGTGTCCTCTTGCCCAGCAGGGACCACCGCATATGTCATAATTAGAAAACACTTAAGTAAGCAAAGGGGCCGTCAGACAGACAGCCTCTAATCACAGGCCATAAGCAGGTAGTGGTTAATTGTATATCAAATCACTCAGCTGGTCATAAATAATGAGTGCTCCTTCAAGTATGATGGCAAATTGCAGCGCGTTATCTGCCTTTCTTTTGAGAAAGACTTCTTGAATAAACAAAACCAAAGAAGAAAATCAAAATGCTGTGAAAGGACTTAAATGTACTTGAGCTATTTTCATTCTTGGTCTTGTCATATTTTTTTTAATCCAACCAAAAAGTTCACACAAATAAGGGGAGAAATACTCGACTTATTTTTCCTTTTCTTTCGTTAAATGTCTTGTAATTTCTTCAGTGCAGTTTTATTCATCAGGAAGAAAAGGACCAATATAGAAGCATAAAAAGTTTCTGTAACTGGAATAATTTCTTTATTGCGTCTTAAAACTTATTTTTCTGGTTAAAAAAAAAGAGCAATGAATCAAAATAAATGATAAATGTGTCTGTTGGTGTCAGTGTTTGCTGCTGGGGGACTGCGGGGGCTCCAGCTGACGTCTGATCTTACTGGATTTGATGGACTTGACTGTAAAGAACAGAAACAGAGGACAGGTCGCACGCTACGACGCAGGCAGAGGATGGACACGTGCACCCGGGGAGTGAAACAAATGCTTTCTCTAAATTATGGCAACATGCCTGCTTTTAGTGTCATCCAGGCAAAACCTTTTTTTTTAGGGGGGGACTAAGATTATTTGTATCATGCAGAGTCAAAGTGTCTCTGTCCTTGTTGAGTCTTTAGAGAAGAGGACGGCCCTTTGCTAATGCTGTGTATTCACGGAGGAAGTAGGTCATTCAACAATGGAGCCAGCAGCAGTCGGCACTCTCTCCCTTTGCATAATACATTAAGTGTAATGTGCAGCAACTATTCAGAGCCCCCCCTTCCTTCTGAAAGCTGTTATTTTATTCTGTAAATGCACACGGACATGACATTTAATATTGTCACAGAGTGCTGAATGACAGGGTTTCATTGTACCAGAGTACAACATGATGCCAGGTTTAATCTGAGCACGAGGCAACATGACAAACGGTAAAGACGCGGTGTGTTCTCCAAAATACCAACTTTGAATAAATAATGGGCAGCGAGCGCGGCTGCTGCGGACTGGAAAGGAGGCTGAGGGGGACGACTACAGAGGAAAATCTGAGCGCTGCAAAGAGGGCCGCAGCCTCATTGTGCGCTCTGGGATCACAAAGTATCCTTCTGTAAATCTATTTACAGCTTCACTGAACCTCACTGTCTCTCTGCCTCCTGTCATCTGCTGCTGAACGAGTGAATGAGTGAATGAGTGAAGAGCTGCTCTTCAAAACAACCTGCATTGATCAAATACACTGGTTTTATTCTCACACTTTCAGGTTCCAGATGGAGTTATTTCCACCATTTTCTTCCATTGTGAAAGTTTGAACATGTGCCTGCGTTTCATTTTCTTTAGGAGAGGATGCATTTTGACAACATTGGACACCAGCTCGGCAAACTGGGAGAGGAAGGAAAGCTCGGCCACAGAGTTATTGACCTCACCAGGCCCGAGGATCTAGATGGTAAGACGATATGAGGCTCTTTAAGTAGTTTTGTAATCCTTCTGGACAACTGCAGTGTTACTAAAAACCTTGAACGTTCCTGTGCTGTGTTAGGAAGCTTTTCACCACATAAAAAAAAAGAGTTTTAATGTTTGACAAAGCTCACTTGTCCAGAAGATTCAGAGTGGCTGTGAGCGCAGACGTGTGTGTATAAGAGAAACATGGGAGTGAATGGTGTTTGAAATGAGCCGTGGCTCTGAGGTTTCACAGGTAGGTGAGCGGAGGACGAGGGTGCAGGAGGACAAAGCTGGCCATTTTCCAAGCTCAACTCATGTGGCTGCTGCGCTTGTTTGAGGTCGCAAGCGCAACAGTGTAAAATCTGATTGCACCAGTGTGTCATCTGCTTTGTAGTGCTGGCACCTTCACATAAGCAAGGGGTACTTTAGTGCACCAGTGTTTGTTCGAGAAAAATATTTGTGGCAGTTTCCATGGCATTTAGGAGCCCTGCAGGCAAAGGGTAGAACGTTTGAGACGCATCTTTGATGCCTCAGGAAGTGGAAGAATGGATATTTCACAGGACAACGTCATCCGTCAGCTCTTTAAATTGCCTTTTTGACAGCCGTCTTTGTAGTTTTAGAAAGAAGCAATAAAGCATCAGAGATTCACACCAAGTTCAAGGGGAAAAAAAAATCACACAGAAATTAAAACAAACCATAAAAATATTTGTTTACAAACTCCAAACCTGTCGCCTCTTTTAAACCATGTCAAGTTTCACATCACACCCAGTCTTGAAGACGAGAATTCGAGGTGGATTCATTGACATGTTTCCCATGTGAGCCGCAGCAGAATCTCCCATCCCACCCGTCTGACTCCTCGGACAGATGTGTTTTCATCGCTCCTTCTCCCGGTGGGAACCTTCCTTCTGTGGCTACTGTGGAGTCAGGAAAGAAAGAGAGCATGCACCAGGGCATTTGTGTCCTTTTAAGTCCTGCTCAAGGCCAAGGGAAAGACTAGCGCCAGACGCCTCACATCAGTGTTCCCAGTGGGCGATGGATTAGGAGCAGACAGAGGTTAGAAGAGGGGATAGGTCCTCTTCCCAGGGGTGGAGGAGGGGGGGTCAGAGCAGCACTTATAAATCAAAGCACAGTTTGCATTTTGTTCCTTGAACCAAAATACATCAGTCTGCCTTTGTAACGATCACTAACAATGGCTCACGCAGCTGAACCACGAACTGGGATTTGAACATGTGACCCACAACGTGCTGACGACTCACACACCTCGTTTGTGATAGCTTTAAAATAATTCATAGAATAAACAGAATACATTTTTTTAGATTAGCTGTGCATCACACTTGAAAATGGACTCAGAACTTTAAACAATATGTTTAAAGTGATTTTGAAAAAAGGAAAAATATAGCAAACCTTTGTATTTACATGCTTTGTCCACCAAACCAGGCTCAGATGATGTTCCCAGTCTTCTAAAGTACGCACTGCAATTAGTTTTTGGGAGGTTTTAGCGCATCAGGAAATTACTTTCTGTATCCTAACACACTTTTTCCCAAGTAGATCAGAACACACTACAAATACTTTGGTGTTTCCTGAAAAGGAAAATTACTGGGTGTACCTCCCGAACTGTACATAGGGTGTGAAAGCCCCTGGTGTGCAGCGGCTTTCCTTCCAGAACAGAGCAGCCACACTGAGCTGGTTATCACAGCACTTTACTGAAAGCTTTCAATGCCTTCAACTAATATTTGCAGAGAATGTGGCAACCAAAGTCTGACCAACTCAGAGCCGGAGAAAAGAAGGTGAATAAATCCAAACGGATTCTTTTTGGTCATTTTTCAAAACCGTGTGGTTCAGCTGTTCTTTTATTATGTTTTTAACGTATTAATTGAATATGTAACCAAACACCACGTAAGTCACGGCCATTTGAAGTCTTTATTTATTCACAAGCGGCAGTATTGAGTCATTGTATAGCAAAGGCTGCGTGTTTGTTTAACTCCATCAGTTTGTCTCTACAGAGGAACAGAATAAGAAGAGACGTTAAATGAGAAAAAAATCAATGGTGTAAAAAAAGGCTTCTGTTAAGAACCGTCTTACAAAATCCTCATGGGAGAGGATGGGAAACAGCAGCACTGTTGTGACACACGGCGTTCCTTCACACTAAGAGCTGTTAGAAAGCTTTGATTTTTGTGTCTTCACTTTAAGACCATGGGAATCAAACTCTTTGGAAAAAGGGTTACTCTTAAAGTGAGCGTGGATGATGAGAACAAGAATTTATACTATCTGAAGTCACAACAGTTGATAAAATACTCAAAACAACACTAAGAAATTTTAATTTGCTCTTAAACTGAATGAGTTGTAAAAGGTTTATTTTTTGCTAAAAGAGTCTACAAAGCTGATAAATATTAAATCTGCCACTACAAGTTGTGACGAGCGTGCCTTTTGTTCCCGAGTGTCTGTATAGTCGTACAAACGCACACAAAAAACATTTTATTAATGTTACTTCACTTGTAGTTTGTATCGGTTTAAGTAACTTGCCACAAGCGCTGGTGAGCCGTCGTGTTCTGCCCGTCTGGATCCATTAACTTCTCCTGATCCCACTCTGAGGGAGCGGCTCCATCGTCGGTGGTGAACGCCTTCAGTCGGAGGTGTTAGGTTTGATCCCAACAGGGAGGGATTGGCAGATTTGTGTAATTGTTGAGGCTCATCCTCTTGAGCAGATTCCTGGGTGACAGAGTATGACGACAGAACAGGGAGTAAAGGAGCAGGAGGCAAGGGGGCGCCTGGGGCAGCGCTACCCTCAGGCTTGGTGCACGGTCGAGTCTGAGCCTGCAGCTCGCAGGTGCTGAGATGAGCTCTGGAGCCCGTGCTGCAATTTTTCTCTGATTCTTTGACTTTTTCCCTCGCCTCCTTATTATTTGCTTTCTCTTTTCATTCTTTATTCTCTCATGCACGCAGCCGAGCTTTCACACTGCCATTCATCCTCCTTGTCCGCTGTGTTTCCAGGAGAGACTAATTTAAAGGGGAGATGCTCATATCATTCTGTCACACTTGAGCTGCAGGCCTCATGAATCACAATAAATTCTATTAAGCAGGTCTCCCTCTGTTTCGCTTCCTCCCTTGTTACCACCCAGGGGGCTTGGCCCTGTCACTGCTAAACATCTGTGTTTATTTACGCAATCACACAACTAACTAACTGATTCCTAAACGATCCGCCCCGCCAGGAAAAAAAAAAATCTGTTAATTTTCATCTGCAAAATGTCAGAGAAGTGTTGCGACTTAATGAAAAACCAGAAACAATGCAGCGGTAAGTTGCACCTTTTTCATAAATCAAAGGTACGTTCACCTGCCTAGGAATAAACACAAAGTGACGGAGCTGCTCAGCTCTACAGGTTTCTGTTCTGTCTGACTGAGAACACGGACACTTTTCTTAGGAAGGTACTTTGTAAAAAAAATAAAATACATGGCTCATCTGGATTCCCTTCATTGAACCAAGTCACGTGGATAGTTTCCTGGCTAACTATGGATGCGGTGCGTGTGTGATGGCAGGCAGTTGTTTTGTATCCCTCCCCATAAGAAGATCACCTCTGCCCATATGCATGCACACCAGTATATAAATTGCTGAATCAGTGTCAGTGATAGAGTAATGGCACGGGAGGCGTCGTAAATTACAGCAAGCGATGGCGAGGTGCAGACACTGGCTGTCGTGTCTGAGTGAGCGCCGCGCTCCTGAGCTAATGAATACCTTCATCTGGCCCTGGCAGTCAGCAGATTGCCCCGCATTGATGGATACTGTCAGCCCTCTGCCACTCCACATTTCATTGCACAATAAACATGGTTGTCAAAAGCAAACAAAGTGAAATCAATTCATCCTGTACAGTGAGTGCATGCTAAATGAAATTAACGTACTGTGGGGTTTGCTGGCAGCAGAGGTAGTGTATTATTTTTGAATTCACGGCGGCTTTAGGGCCTGCAGCATTCCACGAGGCAAAAGCAAACAGACTTGGTGCTTTCAGAGTCTGAGAAAATCTCTGAAATGTTCTGATGGTGTGCATATTGCTGCGTGCATGCACTTCTATTTGTACGCATGCTTTATTGGAGGAGCTGATTTTTTTTTTTTTTTTTTATCAAATAGCAATTCAAACATTTTAAACCTTTATTCTTTGCTTTATGGGAATATGATTTTCTTCTGTTTTTTCCATCAGTTTTCAAAGTTTTCTTTTGGACGTTGGCAGCTTCTTTATTCTTTTCCTGCCCAGTCATTTGGAACAAACTGTTCAGTGACTAAAGTTTTAATTGAAAATTGTTTTTTTTTTTACAAACTTGTCTGCAATGAGAAAAGTTTAGGATCTTAGAAAGTGACCATATTAAAGGGTTATGTTTTCATTTTACTTTAATTATGAAGAGAGATGCTTTTGGATTTTTCACCCAGAATTGACTTTCATACTTTACTTTTCCTCCTTCTCGTGGCTAAAACCAGACTCCAGATGTTTGAGGAACACATACATGCAAACACATAGACTGTGCTTCCTGTTGACTGAATAAAGTCTGGATTCCCTGAGTGGAAACATGCAGTTCGACAGAGAGACAATCTGTTTCTGACTACTCCTCCAAGAAAAGCTGGCAGCATAACCAAGACTGTTTTCAATAAAACAAAACAATACATGTCTGCATGGGTTTTTTTCTGCGTTTAAAAATACATACGGTATATTTCTTGGGTAGCTGTACATCTTTGAGCAAACCCAAGTGTCCACACCTCTGACACTATTAATCTGGATGCACGGTTTGTTTCCTTCATCAGTTAAACACAAATAATAGACTTCTTGTATTTTAGGAAGAGAACATCGAACTCGACGTTGAAACCGGTGCATTAATATCATTAGTGATTAGCGCTGCATGAGGTTTCTAAGGATTTAGAATGAATGTTTCTATTACTCATTAAGAGTTAGATTTGTTTATCATCTGAAATGATAATAGAAATCAAACCCCAGGTAACGTGCACCAAGGCTGCTCGTGAAACGGTTTAATGAGAAGGCTTCACATGTGGATAATGAAATATGCATGAGTCATCCCAAGCTTTCTTTTCCAGATTTGAGATCATTAAAGATGTATCGTAGCATATGGAAGGCTTTTTTTTTGTCTTATTTTTCAAGCCTTGTTTATCAACATGTTTTTGTTTGTTTAAATATTCATATTGCTTTTATTTAATTCTTTCACATCTCACATATAAAAGGAAGCAAATGCGCATGCAAACAGAAATCATTATCAGTTTGATGTACAGTTTAATACTGAGAGAAACTCTCTTATGCTGATTGTGAATGCCCTGATTGAGAAACAGCACTTTGCAGAATCGGCACGCTCTCTCCACGCTAATGTGGGCCCCATGTGTTTGTGTGTTTGTGTGTTTGTATGTTTGTGTGTTTGTGTGTTTGTGTGTTTGTGTGTTTGTATGTTTGTGTGTTTGTGCGTTTGTGTGTTTGTGCGCTTAGAGGAGAAGAGGAAGAGATTCCAAAAGAGTGGTGGGACGACTAAAAAGAAATTATTTATTTGTGCATATACATGTAAAAATGTTCTTTGGAGTAATGCTTTATAAAGATTTGCCAAAGTTCCAGTTCCCTCTTGGAGTTTCCAATTTGAAAGACTGCCTCAAGTTTCTTATTTATTATTTATTTAGACACATTTTGTGAGCAGGGTGGATTCAAACGGAGTCGCGTGTGCACGAGACAAGTGAACATTTTCAAAACAAAACATTTGACTGTTCTTGAAGTCGGCTCCTTACAAACTGCACATTCAGTTTTGTAGCACTTAAACTTTTCAGGTCAGACGTTTGCGCAGAAGTTTCATCTTCCAAGATGCTTTAACCGTCTCATTTAAAACAATATTCATTACGATGATGGGAGAGGTAATGACAGCACATGAAGGAGAATTTATACTGGACTGGTCATTTAATCAGTGCCTTGCCTCGCGTTTCCAGGGTGCATTGAATTCAATGGTTCTTCAGATAAACCCCAACCCTGTTATTGTTGGCCAACAGGAGGTGCTGGATCCAACGAGGCGCGAGTCTTCAGGGAGACCCGGGGTCGGAACAACAACGAGCCCCACATTAAAAGACCGATGAACGCGTTCATGGTGTGGGCCAAAGACGAGCGGCGCAAGATCCTCCAGGCCTTCCCTGACATGCACAACTCCAACATTAGCAAGATTTTGGGTGAGACCTTCTAAATCAAATAAAACAGATGCAGTTTAATCAAAGATCTTCTAATGATTGAGACATATCTGTGTTGGTCTTTGTGTTTTTACAGACGTGACCTCAAAACGTTCAAATGTTGATTAATTAAAGATGGAGCACAGTTGATGTGTAGCTTCAGCTTCCTGTTGAGGGGATGGAGATTTTGTTCATGTACGATCTAAATGTTCTGATCTTGCAGACCTACCAAGCATTTCAGTTTTGTACATTTAGATAACTTTATTGCTCTCTGCTATGTAAATATCAGGTGAAATGTTCAGGAGCGAGTTGATGTGTTACTGCATAGGCTGCTGTGCATCAGTTCACCTCAGCATACAGATGGATTTATAGCCCATCACTACCATAAGTGTTTGTCATGAAAAATGACAGAGACTAAATGGCTCTTGTCCCCTCAGCACCGGAGTCCATACATCAGAGCTGTTAAAAGTGCTGTCATCCATGCCAGCATGGTGCACTTCATGCAGCTCCATATTTACTGCACTGGCTTGTCCCTTACTGTTGAACAGCACAGAACAAACATGTCTCTCCTTTAGGACGATGTGCATCGGTACACCCATCAAGAGGTTCTTTTACAGGCAACAATAATTCTTTCTGCAAAATTTTCCATAAAATGATTGAATGAAAATGTAGCTTTTTGTCCCAGTATTTGTATTTAACCAGAATTAATGTGTGCTTTTATCAAAACCAATTATTCACATCTTCTGAAACCGGTTCTGAGCAGTCAGTGTCTTATCTGTTGCAGATAGCTTTTGAACGACCTCAGAAGAGAAGCTCTGAATATTCAGATGGGGCAAAGACTAAACGAAACTCACACACCTACATTTACACATTTCACAGCAGTTCGTGCAAAAAGACCATCATCAATTTCACATTTAATTTACGTTGAACTCATGGCTGTTTGCACTGAATTGGTGTATTCAGTCAGCACATTTCTATTTAAAGTATATAGGTGTAAAAATCAATAAAATCACATTTGCTTGAATCACTATATAATTTTTACACCGACTTATTTTGCATCGATTTGTTTTTCTGCCAGATTGCATTTAACATGTACTGCTTAGCATTATATGTAACACATGGACTGTCACTGGTAACAAACCACACAGTTTTTTTAATTCAGTGTAAATAAAACATAAACCTTGTAAAAAAAAAAAAAGAAGCCATTAGCTTCAGGTAAGATGCTTGTTGTGGAAAATAGATCTCCAGTTTAAAAAGTCCGTTTGTCCATTTAACTTGTGTTTGTTGATTAAGGCTTCTCTTTCTGTTCAAACCTCGTTTTAAACAGTCGGACAAAACATTTCACTTCAATCATTATTCTACTCGTTGTGCAGGTTCTAGGTGGAAATCAATGTCTAACCAGGACAAGCAGCCGTACTACGAAGAGCAGGCTCGTCTGAGTAAGCTCCATTTAGAGAAATACCCAAACTACAAGTACAAGCCGCGACCCAAGAGGACCTGCATTATCGACGGCAAAAAGCTCCGTATTGGAGAGTACAAGCAGATGATGCGCTCACGGCGACAAGAAATGAGGCAGTTCTTCACTGTGGGGTATGTGCATGTTCAGGAACTCTCAATCCAACTACAGTAAAATAGTAATACTACATACTTTTCACTGCCTAGAACAGAAAAAACACAGTTTTACCTTTTGAGCTAACCAGTATTGCACTGGTCAGAAGGCAAGGTGTTCTCTTTAAAACTGAATGGTTTATAATAGATGCAATTTGAGAGTTTTTATACAATAGCATTTTTTAAATTGAGTGCAGAGATTATTACAGGATCTAAGCTGTAAGTATACACTCGGAGAAGCCTGGAGGGCAGCAGTCTTCAGCCCAACACTTTAATTTACTGTGTGTGGTTAGCAGGAGAACTCTTCTCCAGGTGTTCCCATGTCAGTCATAAGCTTCAGCGGCTGCTGTATCAATCACGCCGTGCAACAGCAGACAAGAGCTGCACTAACCTCGCATCGGTTTTATGTCACCAATAAACTGGGTCGTGTTTCTGAACAGCTCAAAACGGGAGCTGTCAGGAAAAACTCTCTTCTCCCAAATCATTTTCGCAGAGCCGCCGGCCTGAAGCAGACCGGGAAGAGAAAAACCCAACGTCACAAATAAGAGATGCAACAAAGTGACTTTGTTCAAAGATGTGCCAGGATTCACATTTTAGCATTCTTTTTATCTGCTCTTCATAAAAGGACAAATTTGTTTTAATACCAGGAAGAATTGTGAATAATTCCAGTTTTATTTGTTTCTTGCTTGTCCAGCCAGCCACCACAGATTCCCATCACCACCAGCGCCAGCATGGTCTATCCTGGGGCCATCACCATGGCGACCACCACACCCTCACCTCAGATGACGTCAGAGTGCTCGAGCGCGTCAGTGAGTCCCGAGCCGACCATTCCCGTCATTCAGAGCACCTACAACATGAAGCTGGAGCCCAGTAATCTGGTGAACAACAACGAGCCGGTCAACGGGGAGGATGACATGGACATGTACGAAGACTTCGAGGATGAGCCCAAATCAGACTATAGCAGTGAAAATGACACACAAGAGCCGGTCAGCACCAACTGAGACCTTTAAACGAAGCAGACAACACACACACAGGAGGACGCCCAGAGGGACGTTCTGCTCTAAAGGAGGCACCAGGAAAAACAAAAGAAACTTTACGGCAAAGGTTTAAAATGTTCACAAGAAAACGTGAACATTTCACATTTTGTAACGTGCAGGAGTCGGCGTGCAGCTCCGGCTTCATCAGTCCAAAACTATTTGGTCTTAAAAATGTCTTTGAGTTTGTGAAGCATTTTTGTTGTGATAATTTATAATCGTTTTTTTTACACGTTGCTTATTTTTCCTTTGAGATCATGGACATTTACACAACCAGTTCATTGCCTAAAGCAAAACGCAGAACTTGAAGCTAAACATGAGTTAAACAGTTTTAATTTAGTTTTGTGCTTTTGCTTCATGACCTGACTCCGAGACGGAGATGGCAACAGAGCGTTCTCACTCAGGTAACGTGCGCCGGCCAACAGCTCGTGAATGTTTTTAATCATGACGGGAAAAAGATCGTTACAAAATATTTCAAAATTAATTCACTAAGCAATCTATTACTAATAATAAACTGCATAATTTAGTGTGAAAGTGCCATTTCCTGTAAAAGTCCTTTGCGAGAGGTTTACGTCTGCCGCTGGATTTACGCTCTACGAGAAGTGAAGAAATCTGCTCTCCCTGACGTAGTCACGTCACAAAAACAATGTCTTTGTTTGAAAAATCCAGCCATCTTCCCAAATGTTCCTTGAAATCTTATAAAGAAAGTGAAATGATAAAGAACTTGAGGAAGGAGATGGTCAAATCATCATGGACGGAGGAGACAACACAAAGACGGGCAGCTTGGCGTGGCCGTGAGGGAGTCCTCCTCCGCTGGACAGTGCAGGGGCACGTTCCTTACGCTCACTCTTTGTGCATCGTCTGTTGGAAACGATGATTTAAGACAAATTTGCAAATGCCAAACAACAAGGATCGTTTCAATCCGTCTAGTAAAACTGTCTGGTGAGACCAGTAGGGATGGAAGAGTGATGACCCCGTAGGAAATATCAATTCAATTCAGTTTTATTTATAAAACTCAACAGAAGTCGTCTCAGGGACTGAACAGAAACATTCGTATATAAAATAATAATGCACAAGCATGAAGGCGACAGTGGAAAGAAAAACTCCCTCATGAGGAAGAAACCTTTAGCAGAACCAGGATCAGGACAAGAGGACCATCTGCTTCGACCGGCTGGGTTTGGTGGAACAGATACACAATGGCAGGTCAAGAATCACATGTTAAGATAGAAATAGTATCAAATGAAAACTATTAAATTTGAACAATTCATTTAAAGAAATGAGGTCAGTTTGTCCTCTAGTAGTCTAAGTCTATAGCAGCGTAACAACCCTAACTATAGGATTTATCAAAAAGGAAAGTCTTAATCCCAGTCTTAAACTGGAAAATGTGTCAGCCTCACGGACAGAAACTGGAAGTTGGTTCTTCAGTTCTTGCTCCCATTCTGCAGTTGGAAACTCTAGGAACCATTTATCCATGTATTAATATTTATTTAACCATTTATCCATTTCACTTTGTTGGGAGAGGCTCGAAGCTTCTTCTCAGTTTCTCGTTGGATTTTAAATGTCCATGCAGAAAAGAGCATCTCACAACTCTGTGAGCGAGAGCAGAGGTCTTCACTTCTCGAGGAGTATGGATCCAACTTTAGACACTCTTCATTTCTTCGTCTCCGGGTGGTTCTTCACCTGAAAAGAGCAGACGTTTGAAACTCGGAGGCAGCAAGCTCTACAGGAGGTTCCAAAATGTTCCACTGTGGCGACTGAAGCTTGTGATGATAACGTTTCCTCGTCCCAGTCCACACAAACACTGTGGCATCCTTCACTTGTTTCCAGCTCCGCAACCCAGTCGGACTCACAAAGATCTTAATCAGTGATTGTAATCAGGCCAGAATCCTAAAAGGGCCAACGGCCTTCAATCTGCAGGATTGGAACCGGATCGAAAGGCAGCTTTGGTGGCATTACAATCTTAAATTGACGTTGTACAATGTGCTACAGCACATTCTGTTAAACACTTTAGCCTCTTTTGGACAGCGTGTTGAACATCTTAGGTCTTAAAAAGTAATTTTTTTTAGCATTGTAAACCTTAAACTGACACTAATAAGTCTTAAAACAGAGCACAGATATCAGGTCGATGCAAAGAGATGATACAGACGTTGCATTGAAAGGACGACTGATCGCCGCGACGGGCCTCAACAACGAAAACGTGTTTCTTAATCTCTTTTGTACATTTGACAAAAGGTGACATAACATTCATTTCTCAGTAGTGCACTTTTATAACTTATCTGCCACCATAAGTATATTTCTTTTAATCTTGTTTAATTCATAAAAATATCTGTAATGTCCTTTATATATAAAAAAATGTTACACACAAGGAAAACAAAAGTCAAGACTCGTACAATTCTGGTGACCTTCTGAAGTCTGCAGCTGCACAAGATGCCTTCAGCATTGGAGGCCTTGATGCCGACGCTCAGATAGTTTGTGGAGCAGAAGGTCTAAGTGGCTCTCCTTCCTGCCATGCCTTGCTCTGACCCCAGTCTGTGGCAACCTCAGCGCACAGGGGGCACCATCTGGTTGTGCAAAGGAGAATGTGGCGGGGTGGGGTGTGAAACAATAAAATGCAGGGTGTGTGTCCCTCATTGTGCTCTCCATCAAAGTGCTGGAAGTAAGGCCTCAACACAGCTTCCACCCCAGCCCAGTCACCAGGCGCTGGCGAGCAGATGGAACAAGTACATCAAGCTGTGGGGGATTATTAAAATGACTGACGACTGGGTATCATCTGAAATACAACATTATTAATGCATGAGTCCAGTTCCTCCCCTCCCTTGCCCTTGAGCTTGTCCATTTCAGAGCTCGTGCACGGCTCTGGAGGTTTGAGCGGCTGGTCACTGACGTGAACTGCTCACGACCCCGAGTGCTGGTCATTGCATCGTTCTCCTGGCTCTAATCGGTACAAAAAGGAATTTATTTATTTATTTATATTTTATTTTCTGCTCCTTTAGTCTTACTGCCTATAGCATTGTTTGTGATTTATAATTCTGAAGCCTTTAGAAACATTCAGACACAATTCATGTTCAAATCATCTCGATGGTTTTATTTCCCCATCAGTACATGTTTTCTCTTTGAGGAGCGAACAGTTTGTGGATGCTCTCCTGCGAACAAACTTTGGCAGATCTCCCTCCGAGTCGACCGTTTGCTTCTTTAGAGGTTTCCTCCTGTTGGCTGGTGGTTCGATTGGTTTGTTTGCGATTGTAAATAGTTTCCTGACCATGCCTCACTGCTTTTGTTGGCTGGCTGTTGGACTTCTCAAAGAAATGAAACTTGACTGTGCTTATATGGCAAAAACACAAAACAACAACAAAAAAAAAAAAAAAGACGACACGAACTCACAAAGAGACGTTGTGTTATAAGCACTGGATATAAAATGTATTTTTATCAATTCTGATTAATGTGAAGCTGTTTGAGGACAATAATCATGAACAAGATTCCCCGGCTAGACTCAAACGGGTTTGTCGTCACACTTACTGGCTTTGAGTCTTTTTGTTTGTTTGTTTGTTTGTCTGCCTTTTCTGTGTATTTATGCAAAGACACATGTGATGAATGAGCGCGTGGAGGCTTCAGGGCTGCCTCTGGGACAGACTCAGCACAAGAGAGCGACGAGCAGGCTCAGAGAGCCGCCGATCAACACACGTCGGTGCATTGTACATTATATTTGATACTGTACGTATCGTCATATTTTATTTATTATTAGCCACTGCTGGCTCTAAAACTGTCAGTAAAGGAGCAATACGGACAATCAGAGAAGAGGAAAAGAATAATTGGAAGTAAAAAAAGTGTTTTTCACTTAATTCACCGTCTCATTTGCTGTAAATATTAACAATAATTTTGTCCATTAGTATAAGTTATATATATTTATATATATATAATTTTTTCTTTTTTTATGCTTTTTTTTGTGCTAATGTCTGACAAGTCACTGTACCTCATGTAGATGCTGATTATTTTCTGATAAATTCAAAGAGAGCAGAATTGGTGTGAGCAGTTAATTAAATGCACCAACATCAGATTTAATAAAAGGTACTAACTCAAACAACGAGCACTTGATGAAAATAATTATTGATCCACACGTTTCCAATCAAAATACAATCATTCGTGTTATTTGGCATTTTCTCCCTGAGATCACCTGAAAATATTTGCATGCATTGACATTGTTTTAACGTGGGAGTGCGCGAGTATTTATTGTTCTTAATGTTGTGAAGTGCACAAAAAGTGGTGCATTCTCTTATTTCACTTTTGGTTTGCCATCTGTTCTGTATGCTGCCATTGATTAACCGACATTATCCAGAATCTGCAAATGTAGCCCTGACCGTTGGTTCGTTCCGTTTCTCCTGTGAGACGTGCAAATCGTTCGAACGGACGGAGGACAAAAGATTCTGTGCCGTTTCATTATTACTGTAATTTCATTTGTTTTCTGTCTGAACGTTGTGATGTAAATGGTGAGAATGTTCTGTGTGTTAATTTAATCAGCACAATTCACTGACATGCTGGACTGACATGCTAGCTGCTGTTCAGAAGTGTAAAAATTGTCGTTTCAGGCAACATTTTAGTTGCCGCTGGTACTCTGCTTTCAAGAGTTGTGTTTTCGAGCAACGCCGTGGGGCTCTTCTATGACTGGAGTCACTGTTTTCAAAATGCTGGCAGCCTGAAACAATCGACAGCATAACGTCCTTTTGAATTCGTCCTCTCCTGGCAGGTACCGAAGCTCATGGCAAGTTTAGTTTAGAAGTGAAAATGAATTACATAGTGTCTGTTGCTGCTTTAAAAAGAAGTTTATGTCTGACAATGTAAATAGTTTATCATAATATCTTGTACAGTCCAATGTAAAGTTTTTAATTCAACTTAAGAACAATGATGCCATCACGTTTGTGTTCACGTTCTTCTTTATAGAGAACAAAAAGGTCAAATATTTGCAAGGGTGTATTATTGCTGGAAAAAAAAGAAGACAATTTTACATAATTTTTTGTTTGTTTTGTTTTGCTTCGACGTGTACATCAACCTTTTTTAGTTTGTTCTTCCTTTTCATGTGCAGTATTGACGTGAGGTAAACTTAAGGTGAACAGTTTTACATCGGTGTGTGTGGGAAGCCATTTTCTTGGCTTCCGTAGTATTAATACACTATATAAAGAAGTAAAAAAAAAAAAAGATTGACACATGGGTGCATAGTGGCACCGTAGCATTGTGTATAATGTAAATTAATAAATTATCCCCAAAGGATCACTTCTGACATAACTGAACAGCATTTTCCACGTGTCTCTGTCCACTGTGTCGACGCAGCGGTGGGCGGACAACTGCCTGTTTGAGCTCATTTACCTCAAGAGTTTCCTTCAAGTCTGTCATGACAGAAACTGTGTTGCAGAACGCTTCTCGTCACGTCACTCCATCTTTTGTACTGCTGTTGACACTTACCGATTAAAGAGATCTTGTTTGAAGAGCCGAGTTA